CCAGTCGGTCCAACCAGTCCATGGCCCAACAGGCCAGTGGGTCCAACTGGTCCATTGGACTAACAGGCTACTGGGTCCAACTGGTCCATTGGACCAACAGGCCAGTAGGTCCAACCAGTCCATTGGCCCAACAGGCCAGTTGGTTCAACCGGTCCATTGGCCAAACAGGCCAGTCGGTCCAACCAGTCCATTGAACCAACAGGCAGTTCGGTCCAGCTAGTCCATTGGGTCCAACCGGTCCATTGGACCAACAGGCCAGTCGGTCCAACCGGTCTATTGGACTAACAGACCAGTCGGTACATCCGGTCCATTGGACCAACAGGCCAGTCGGTCCAACCGGTCCATTGGACCAACAGGCCACTCGGTCCAACCGGTCCATTGGACCAACAGGCCAGTCGGTCCAACCGGTCCATTGGACCAACAGGCCAGTCGGTCCAACCGGTCCATTGGACCAAAAGGCCTGTCGGTCCATCCGGTCCATTGGACCAACAAGCCTGTCGGTCTAACCAGAACAGCAAGTTGGACCAACAGGCTACTGGGTCCATTGGACAATCAGGCTAGTCGGACAAGCCAGTCTATTGGACCAATAGGCCAGTGTGTCCAACCGGTCCATTTGACCAGGCCAGTCGGTCCAACCGGTCCATTGGACCAATAGGCTACTGGTTCGAACTGGTCCATTGGACCAACAGGCCAGTCGGTCCAACCAATCCCTTGGCCCAACAGGCCAGTTGGTCCAACCGGTCCATTGGCCAAATAGGCCAGTCGGTCCAACCAGTCCATTGAACCAAGAGACTGGTCGGACCAGCTAGTCCATTGGGTCCAACCGGTCCATTGGACAAAGAGTCCTGTCGGTCCAACTGGTCTATTGGACCGACAGGCCAGTCGGTCCATCCGGTCCATTAGACCAACAGGCCAGTCGGTCCAACCGGTCCATTGGACCAAAAGGCCAGTCGATCCAACCGGTCCATTGGACCAACAGGTCTGTCGGTCCAACCGGTCTGTTGGACCTCGGAAGAGTGGGTCCAACTAGAGCATTGGACCAACAGGCCAGTCGATCCAACCGGTCTATTAACCACAGGACAGTGGGTCCAACCGGTCCATTGGCCCAACAGGCCAGTCGGTCCAACCGGTCCATTGGCCCAACGGGCCAGTCGGTCCAACCGGTCCATTGGACCAACAGGCTAGTCGATCCAACCGGTCCATTGGACCAACAGGCCAGTGTGTCCAACCGGTCCATTGGACCAACAGGCCAGTCGGTCCAACCGGCAAGTTGGTCCAACCAGTCCATTGGCCCAACAGGCCAATCCGTCCAACCGGTCTATTGGCCCAAAAGGCCAGTCGGTCCAACCGGTCCATTGGCCCAAAAGGCCAGTCGGTCCAACCGGTCCATTGGCCCAAAAAGCCAGTCGGTCCAACCGGCCCATTGGACCAACAGGCCAGTCGGTCCAACTGGTCCATTGGACCAAAAGGCCTGTCGGTCCATCCGGTCCATTGGACCAACAGGCCTGTCGGTCTAACCAGTCCATTGGACTATCAGCAAGTTGGTCCAACCGGTCCATTGGACCAACAGGCCAGTCGGACAAGCCAGTCCATTGGACCAACAGGCCAGTGTGTCCAACCCGTCCATTTGACCAGGCCAGTCGGTCCAACCGGTCCATTGGACCAACAGGCTACTGGGTCGAACTGGTCCATTGGACCAACAGGCCAGTTGGTCCAACCGGTCCATTGGCCAAACAGGCCAGTCAGTCCAACCAGTCCATTGAACCAACAGACTAGTCGGACCAGCTAGTCCATTGGGTCCAACCGGTCCATTTGACAAAGAGGCCTGTCGGACCAACCGGTCTATTGGACCGACAGGCCAGTCGGTCCATCCGGTCCATTGGACCAAAAGGCCAGTCGATCCAACCGGTCCATTCGACCAACAGGTCTGTCGGTCCAACCGGTCTGTTGGACCTCGGAAGAGTGGGTCCAACTAGAGCATTGGATCAACAGGCCAGTCGATCCAACCGGTCTATTGACCAACAGGACAGTGGGTCCAACCGGTCCATTGGCCCAACAGGCCAGTCGGTCCAACCGGTCCATTGGCCCAACGGGCCAGTCGGTCCAACCGGTCCATTCGACCAATAGGCTAGTCTATCCAACCGGTCCATTGGCCCATCAGGCCAGTCAGTCCAACCGGTCCATTGGACAAACAGGCCAGTCGGTCCAACCGGTCCACTGGACCAAAAGGCCAGTCGATCCAACTGGTCCATTGGACGAACAGGCCTGTCGGTCCAACCGGTCCATTGGACCTCAGCACAGTGGGTCCAACCGGACCATTGGACCAACAGGCCACTCGGTCCAGCCGGTCCATTGGACCAACAGGACAATGGGTCCAACCGGTCCATTGGCCCAACAGGCAAGTCGGTCCAACCGGTCCATTGGCCCAACAGGCTAGTCGGTCCAACCGGTCCATTGGACCAACAGGCCAGTCGGTCCAACCGGTCCATTGGCCCAACAGGCCAGTCGGTCCAACCGTTCCATTGGCCCAACAGGCCAGTCGGTCCAACCGGTCCATTGGCCCAACAGGCCAGTCGGTCCAACCGGTGCATTGGCCCAAAAGGCTAGTGGGTCCAACCGGTCCATTGGCCCAAAAGGCCAATCGGTCCAACCGGTCCATTGGCCCAACAGGCCAGTCGGTCCAGCCGGTCCATTGGACCAACAGGCCAGTCGGTCCAGCCGGTCCATTGGACCAACAGGCCAGTCGGTCCAACCGTCCCATGGACCAACAGGCCAGTCGGTCCAACCGGTCCATTGGACCAACAGGCCAGTCGGTCCAACCGGTCCATTGGACCAACAGGCCAGTCGGTACAACAGGTCCTTTGGCCCAACAGGCCAGTCCGGTCAAACCGGTCCATTGGCCCAACAGGCAAGTTGATCCAACCGGTCTATTGGCCCAACAGGCAAGTCGGTCCAACCGGTCCATTTGCCCAATAGGCCTGTCGGTCCAACCGGTCCAACCGGTCCATTGGGCCAACAGGCCAGTCGGTCCAACTGGTCCATTGGACGAACAGGCGTGTCGGTCCAACCGGTCCATTGGACCTCAGAACAGTGGGTCCAACTGGACCATTGGACCAATAGGCCAGTCGATCCAACTGGTCCATTGGACGAACAGGCCTGTCGGTCCAACCGGTCCATTGGACCTCAGCACAGTGGGTCCAACCGGACCATTGGACCAACAGGCCACTCGGTCCAACCGGTCCATTGGACCAACAGGACAATGGGTCCAACCGGTCCATTGGCCCAACAGGCCAGTCGGTCCAACTGGTCCATTGGCCCAACAGGCCAGTCGGTCCAACCGGTCCATTGGACCAACAGGCCAGTCGGTCCAACCGGTCCATTGGCCCAACAGGCCAGTCGGTCCAACCGTTCCATTGGCCCAACAGGCCAGTCGGTCCAACCGGTCCATTGGCCCAACAGGCCAGTCGGTCCAACCGGTGCATTGGCCCAAAAGGCTAGTGGGTCCAACCGGTCCATTGGCCCAAAAGGCCAGTCGGTCCAACCGGTCCATTGGACCAACAGGCCAGTCGGTCCAGCCGGTCCATTGGACCAACAGGCCAGTCGGTCCAACCGTCCCATGGACCAACAGGCCAGTCGGTCCAACCGGTCCATTGGACCAACAGGCCAGTCGGTCCAACCGGTCAACAGGCCAGTCGGTCCAAGCGGTCCATTGGCCCAACAGGCCAGTCCGGTCCAACCGGTCCATTGGCCCAACAGGCAAGTCGATCCAACCGGTCTACTGGCCCAACAGGCAAGTCGGTCCAACCGGTCCATTGGCCCAATAGGCCTGTCGGTCCAACCGGTCCAACCGGTCCATTGGCCCAACAGGCCAGTCGGTCCAACCGGTCCATTGGCCCAACAGGCCAGTCGATCCAGCCGGTCCTGTGGCCCAACAGGCCAGTCGGTCCAGCTGGTCCATTGGCCCAACAGGACAATCGGTCCAGCCGGTCCATTGGTCCAACAGGCCAGCTGGTCCAGCCGGTCCATTGGACCAATAGGCCAGTCGGTCCAGCCGGACCAATGGACCAACAGGCCAGTCGGTCGAACCGGTCCATTGGCCCAGTCCAACCGGCCCGTTGGCCCAACAGACCAGTCGGTCCAACCGGCCCGTTGGCCTAACAGGCCAGTCGGTCCAACCGGCCCGTTGGCCCAATAGGTCAGTCGGTCGGCCCGTTGGACCAAACAAGCTAGTGGGTCCAACCGGCCCGTAGGACCAACGGGCCAGTGGGTCAACCGGCCCATTGGACCAAACAGGCCAGAGGGTCGAACCGGTCCATTGGACCTACAGGCCAGTTGGTCCAACAGGTCCATTGGACCAACAAGCTAGTGTACTGTGGCTACAGCCGAAGCAACTACGGCCATAGCACGCCACTGGGGGCGGTAGGGGCTGCAGCAATCGCGGTAGAGGCCACAGCAGGGCCTGCAGAGGCCGTATCTGGCAGTAAAGAGCCAGTAGGGAGGGCGGGCTCAGGGGACATTGGGGCAACAGGGGTAAAAGGGGCGAGTGGGGTCCCAACCAGGGAGGTTCGTGAAGGAGGGGAAGTGATAATGATGGATGATGATGCGGTAAAGGACAGGATGCACATAGACTGGCCACTAGCCCAATACCTCACTACGGACAGTGAGGCCGACCCTTGCCCACTAAAGTCTCATAACGAGGTTCTCCCTTTCCCCCCCATGCCCGACCCCATGCTAGCAGATGGACCAATGGAGGGGTTGGGGGAGACTTTGAGGACGGAGCCCTGCGAGGGCGCCCCCATCCCTAGCCACCATCCTCCAGCCCACCCCCCCCAGGAGCACCACGCCCCTATCCCCACCCTCTGGGGCTCCCTCTAGCATCCAGGTGGGCAGCCAAGGCCCTGGCCTTCTTGGCAGAGCCGTGCTCCCCGACCCCTATGCAGTCGCAAGGCCAGCCCCCCTCTCCTTCTCCAACGCTTGACCCCACACCTGCAGGCGGTCCACTAGAGGAGCGCGCGGGTGCAACAAGGGCAGAGCCGCCCGAAGGCACTCCTATTCCCCGCCTCTAACCCATCCCCGTCCCTTCCATCACTCCTTCCCTCTCCCCCAAGGGCAGCACGCTCATGCCCCCACCCCCAGGGGTTCCTCCGAGCACCACGGGGAGCAGCCAGGACCCTTGCCTTCCTGGCTGAGCCATGCTCCCCGACCCCTGAATGTTAAAGTAACAATCCACCCAATCATCTCCTGCCAACCTCCTACCTCCTCCCCCACTAGGTCCTCCCTTGCCCGGAGCTACACACATCTCAGGGGTTGAAACCTCCCTCCGGCCACATACCTCTCCCTCACACTACACACACCCAAAGCACTCAAGTCGCCGCACAGCCCCAACATTTTCACCCAACGGGCTGCCCTCCTCACACCACCCCCCCAGGCAGCCGAGGCCCACCCGCAAGGACCTGTGGAGTCTCATGGGAGCGACGAGACACTGGAGGGGCCCATGGGTGGGGCCACCAGTGGGAGGGGCCCTGCCCCAACTTTTAGCGTGGGGGCGCAACCTCAAAACCTCCTCTCCCACTCATCCCCCCACCACCTGCCACCACGGAGCCACCACAAGCCTCCCTCCCCCCACCGCTTGCTCCGCGCTCTAACCTCCACACCGCTCCAGCGCCTCGGCCCCCACTAGTAACCTCCTCTCCCGGCCCTGTTCCTTACGAGTGACCCCGTTGGGCAGCCATCACCCCCCACGCACTGTCTGCCCAGTCTGCCCCCATAGAGAGTGATGTCATGGGGAGGGGGGGGATGCACACTGAGCTCCCCCCACCTGGTCAACCACCAATCCTCCCCCCACCCACCCCCTTGGCCTCTCAGCCCCCCTTTCCTTCGCAACCAGGCAGGGACAACGAAAACCAGGTTGGCCGCCGGCGGACGAACAAAGGCAGGGGAGGCAAAGGGTCAGCTCACCTACCCCCTCCTCCCTCCCTCCCCCTCCAAGCGCCCCTCACCCCACATCCCGATGAACCTGGATTTTCTGGCTTTCCCTCAGAGTCTCCCTGCTGTTCTAGTTGTGTACTAGCACTGGCTTCGAGGTCGTTGCGCTTTAGCTACGCGCTCTTTTCTAGCGTCTTCCACCCTCGTGGCTCTGGCAAAGTCGAACATGGATGTTTGGCCGATTGCCGTTGACGAGGTGTTGGTCCGCATTCTATCGCGAGCAGTTTGCCTCCAGCTACGCGACCAGATGGCGAGGGTTTTCTTGGTGTCCCAGCAGTTTGGGGTGGGGGGGACGCGTGGCACAGAGGTCGTAGTTAGAGGTGTCCGCCGTGCTCTGGCTGACCACCCGGACTGGGTGGTCCTGCAACTTGACGTGGCGAACGCCTTTAACTCATTTCACCGAGACATGATGTTCCAGGCTTTGTAGGTCAGCCAATAGTTCTAGTGCCTCACCCCATTCATCGACCTTTTCTACGGGACGTCCTCGATCTCCACTACATGACAGATGAGGGAGTGGTCACGATGCACTCGGAGCGCGGCAGTTGCTTGAGAGACCCCCTCATCCCCTTCGTGTACGCTCTGACACAGCGACTTGCCCTGGAGCCGGTTCTGACGGAGGGCGATGTCCAGCTCTGGTCGTATGCCGACGACACGTACGTGCTAGGCCCGACAGACAGGGATCGTGAGGCGCCTGGGCAAGATGGGCCTCGCGGTCCAATCGCACAAGTGCCTCGTCTACCAGACTGAGTCTTTTTTGTCCAGGGACGTGAGGCTTTCACGAGCCTTGAGGTCGAGGTCGCACGTCGATGACTTACTGTGGCATGCGTGCCTGTGGGTACCGTTTCGTTTGTGGAGCGCAACCTCCTGGGTCATCTCGAAAAGATGGGGCGGGTGTTACCTTGGCTTTCGAGGTTGCGCCAGCCCCAGACACCTGCTCGCCTTCTTTTGGCATCTGTCAGCACTCATTCGCAGTACCTGTCGAAGACTGTCCCTCCCTCCCCGTAGTGCTCTCAAGCTTCGCGCGCTGGGACGCACGCCTGGGAGAGCCTTTTCATCAGCTTTTAGCGTCAGGGACCTGGGCATGCCGCGTGGACGTTAGAGATGCCGCCCGAGACCAAATCTTCCTCCCCATCCGCCTTGGGGGTTTCGGCATTCGTCGCATGGAGCGCATTCCCCCGGTGAGTTTCGTGTGCTCTTGGGTGCAGTATCCACCCATCCTCTGTTCTCTTCCTGTGTGCGGTGAGGTTTTTCGGTGGAGCTTTGCTTCCGGTGAGACGGAACAGATCGGCCCATCGTTGCGGACGACGCTGGAGGGCCTCCCGCCTGACATCCTCTCTCTCCTTCTACCCTGGCCCCCTTATGCCTCTGCCTCCCCCGATTCCCTTTTTGCAGGAGCGAGCCGCCTTCTTGAGGCGCATGCCTTGGAGGCAGTGCGTGCCCGTCACACATCTCCCTAGCACCTTGCCCGCTTGACTTCTCTTCAGGGCGTAGGTGCAGGAGCGTGGCTGCTGGCGGTGCCATACGCAGACTCCCTGCATAGTGGCAGGTGGCTTCATCATGTCCTCTTGGTCTCCCTGTCCCCCACTTAGCCCTCGCAGGTCAGTGCTCCTGTGGACCGGTGAACGACGACATGACGGTGCCTCACCACGCGGTTCAGTACCCACGATTCGGCGTCGCCACTGTCATCCACGACACGGTGAAGTTCGCCCTTCGAGACTTCGCTATCGAGGCAGGCTTCGCGGTGAAGGTGGAGGGCTCTACGCTGTTCACACACCTGGAGGCAGCTCGAGCGAGACTGCAGGGACAGCCGGTGGTGGGAGAGGGGAGACAGGCTGGGGGATCGCTGGAGCAGAGGGTTGAGGCAGGATAGCCGGATGACAGGGCACAGTGGGGAAAGCATCAGCTGCGCAGTCAGTTGGCGTGAAAGGCAGGTCGGCAAAGGGGACGGCAGCGAGTGCAGACCAGCTAGGGAGGAGAGGGGGGATAGCAGAGGAAGCAGCAGGAGAGCCAGCAGAGGTTGCAAGCTCAGGGCTTCGCGCCCCATGGTGTGGGCTCGGGGGTGGGGCAGGGGCGAGAGCAGCAGAGAGCGGACGGGGGTACAGGGGGGGCAGCGGGATTGGGAGGTGAGGATCAGGGAGTGAGAGAGGCAGCAGGGGATGGAACAGGGGGGTTGGGAGGGTTGGGAGAGGGTAGAGAGGGGGAGGGGAGAGGACATGTGGGTGGAGGGGAGGACAGGGGGAGAGAGATGACAAGAGAGGAGGCACCGAGGGACCAGACAGGGCAACAACCAGTGCAGCTGCAGGGACCAGCCAGACGCACAGGCCGTGCAGACACCTCCTCCCGCATCCCATACCTCACCTGCCGCGACGTTGGGCAGACTATGATGATGGTTCTTGTGGATGTCTCTATAGCGGATCCACAGTCGGAGGGGAACGTGCAACTAAGCGGTCGACCCCCACACAGATTGGAGTGGCAGCAGCTAGGCGGGTGCAGGATAAGCTGCGTCACTGGGGGCCGCACTTAGAGGGGTTGCAGCTGGCACCACATTTTTACGCGTGCGTGACTGAGACCTTTGGCCTACTGAGCGAGCCGTTGCGTCAGTTCCTGGGGCTCTGCGCGAAGTGGATAGCATAGCAGAGGAGGGATTGGGAAGTGGGGGATGACGGATCGGCATGGATATTTGAGGCAGGACTCGCTACACGTCTCTCTGTGGCAGTGCAACGCGCGCAGGCTCAATGCATCTTACAACATGGGGAATCCGACGACGGGTGGATGCCCGGACCGGTCCACTAGATGCAGGGCAGGGTACCTGGAACCACATCACATGGTGCTTCGAGAGTGTTGCCGATATGCAATATATGTATAACGCATATGTGTAGAGAGTTTAGTCGCTGTGCTTGAAACGTTGTGCCCGCGTCGTTGTGAGGGTTGTTCCCGAGTTTTGTCCCTTGATACTTCCTTCTCCTTAGTCTCTTTCCCTCTCTCTTCTCCTCTTCCCACCTCCCTTTTTCTTTTCCCTTCCTCTATCTATTCACTTCTCGTACTACCACTCTCTTCTTTTCCCTATTACCTCTTCACTCCTTGATATTTTCTTCTTCTTTCTTACTTCTCTTCCCTACAAACTTTATATATCGTCCTCATAGAGCAATGGTCATGCCAAAATTAAATCCTTTTGGAAAAACCATTCTATTCGGCTTGTATTTGTATTGCCGTTATCAATGAATAGCTGGATGAGCGGGCATGGGTGGCCCGCCCCCCCGGGGGCGGCGGGCGCGGGTGTGGGCGCGGGCCGGGGGCGGGTGGCCGGGCCCCCCGGTGGCGGCAGGCGCGGGGGCGAGCCGGGGGCGGGTGGCCGGGCCCCCCTGAGGCGGTGTCCGTGGGCGCGGGCGCGGGCCGGGGGCGGGCGGCCGGGCCCCTTGAGGGCGGCGGGCGACGGCCGCGGGCGCGGCCCGGAGGCGGGCGGCCGGGCCCTACGGGGGCGGCAGCCGCGGGCGCGGGCCGGGGGCGGGAGGCCACGGGGTCAGTTGTCCTATGCATTAGAGGTTGTCTTAAAGACGACCACACACGTACATGCTCAAGAGTGCATTAAAGCTCTTTCTTGTCTTATTTTTACCTATTGCGTGCACTATTTCGCTGTCTTCCAGGGTGTAGTGATGGAGGTACTAGATGCTCTTGCAAAACTATCACAAGATAAGTTGTCACTGCGCTCCCGGCTGCTGGTGAGTTGGTTTGTGCCGAGTTTCTGCCCTCCACCTCCCTCGCTCCGCTCTGCTCTCTTGGAGCTCGTGCAACACAACTTCGCTCAGGCCTTGCGACCGCAGACTGAAGCTGGATTAAGGGTGTTAAGTTTGCGCCCTATCCTTCCGACCTCGCTCGCTCCACCCTGCTCTCGTGGTGCTTATGCGACACAACTTCGCGCGGGCCTTGCAATCACAGACTCAAGGTGGCTTTAGGCTGTTGAGCTTTCGCCCTTTCTTTCCTACCCACCTCACTACGCCCCTCGCTCCGCTCTGCTCTCCTGGTGCTCGTGCAACCCAACTTCGCGCAGACCTTGCGACCGCAGACTAAAGCTGGGTCAAGGGTATTGAGTTTCCGCCTCACCCTTCCCACCCCGCTCGCTCCACCCTGCTCTCCTGGTGCTTATGCGACACAACTTCTGGTCCAATGAACCGGTTGGACCAACTGGCCTGTTGGTCCGATGGACCGGTTGGACTAACTGGCATGTTGTCCAATGGACCGGTTGCACCAACTCGCCTGTTGGTTCAATGTGTCACAGGATCGAATTTCCACTCGAGAATGTTGCACTAAAGGTGAGTACAAGGCGTATTTATACTCGGAAATACATAGAAACAACAGATAATCCGAACCTTCGGGAACGCGCTCTTCTGGAATAGATAATCACAAGTGCGCATAAGCACGCAAGCCCATTGGCACTTCGGATTATGGCGAGATTACGCCTTGTACACCACTGTCGGTGCTGTCGGTGCCGTATAATGTAAATGTCGGTGCCGAAAATACCAAATAAGTGAAATAATCAGAAAGCTCTAGAAAATAGATTAGTAGTCCGATTGAGGTGAAATAAAGTGCAAATGAAAGAGGAAATAAGGAGAATAAGATGGAGTAAAAATATGGAAATGAGAAATATGTCGAACGTCGGCGTACTCTCACACTTCCCCCCCTCAAAGCTGGGTGGTAGATAACACCCTGCTTGACAAGATAGTCGCGGAGAGAACGTCGGGCGTTACTCATGTCTTCTTCAGAGACCCAGCTGTCCTCAGAAGGATCATAGCCCTTCCAGCGTATGAGAAACTCCAGGGCGCCATGCCGACGACGACGATGTGCAAGCACAGATTCAACCTCGTACTCAAGTTCATCATTCACGCGGACTGGAGGCGGCGGCGGAGTTTGGCGTCCCGTGTACAGCTTATTTGGATCTCGATAGGGTTTAAGAAGCTGCACGTGGAAGGCGTTATGAATCTTCCAAGTAGCTGGTAGGCGCAAGAGGAATGTGACTGGAGTGACCTGCTCTTCTACGAGGAAAGGTCCGCAGAAGCGAGGTCGTAACTTGGATGGAAGGTGACCGAGGTTGAGGTTGCATGTATCGAGAAGCACATGGTCACCAACCGCAATGGTATGATCACGTCGATGGCGATCGGCCAAGCGTTTCTGTGAAGACTGTATGTCCTGTAGACGCTTGTGTGTCCGATCCCAAAGCTGCTGCATTGTGGTAACGAAGTCGTGCGCGGGTTGGACAGTTGCAGGTACTGTCGGCTGTTGAGGAGTTAGCGGATGTCGACCGTAATAGAGGAAGAATGGGGTCTCTCCTGTTGCGGCATGCTTTGCATTATTGTAGGCGAACTCCAACACCGGCAAGTGCAAGTCCCACTTGTTAATGTCGTCCTTGCATGCTGCGCGCAAGAGTTGTTCCACAATTTGGTTCAAGCGCTCTGTCTGCCCATCGGTCTGGGGATGATATGCAGATGACATTGCTAGGCGTGTCCCCATGAGCGACATGAGCTCTTTCCAGAACTTGCTAGTAAACTTGGGGTCCCTGTCGGATATGAGGGTTGTTGGGATCCCGTGCTGTGAGATGATGCGTTTGAGGAATAGCTGTGCCGTTTCCTCCGTGCGTGCGGTTGTATGTGTCGGAATGAAGTGTCCCATCTTTGAGAATTTGTCGATGACGACCAGGATGGCGTCATGCCCCGCGTTGGTAGGTGGTAAACCGGTGATGAAATCCAAGCTGACCACTTGCCAAGGCTGTTCCGGGACGGATAGAGGCTGAAGAAGTCCTGCTTTCTTCTGCTTACTGCTCTTCATCCGCTGGCATGTGTCGCACGAAGTGACGAACTTCTGCACGTCGTCCGCCATGTTAGGCCAATAGTAGACTTTCGCAATCCCGGCAAGAGTTTTGTTACTCCCGAAGTGTCCAGCGTAGAGCACGTCATGGAATTCTTCGAGAAGCAACTGCCGAAGAGGCGGGTAGTTGGGTACCCATATCTTTGTTGATCCTTTGCGTAGTGCGACGTCGTGGTCCCACTGCAACAATTTCTTTTTCGCTGCCAAGGGAATCTCAGGGTCGATGGTATACCCGTGCGTGAAGAGTCCCTTGAGTAGCGGATTCATCCCCTCAATCTGTATGGCAGCAACGTGTCCAGGCCGGCTCAGTGCATCTGCCTTATTCTTGTGTCCCGGCTTGTACACGATGTCGTAGTCGAAGTGCGTCTCGAAGAAGTCAATCCACCTGACTTGTCGTGTGGAGAGGGTCGGCTGCGTTTTTAGGTACTTCAGGCTGCAATGGTCAGTGTAGACCGTGGTCTTTCTCCCTTCGAGGTAGCATCACCATGTCTTGAATGCGGTGATGATCGCTAAGGCCTCTTTGTCGTGAATCGGGTAGTTGAGTTCTGCCACGTGCAATTTCTTGCTGAGGTAAGCGATTGGTTGTAGTCCTTTCCCTTGGTCTTGCATCAAGACTGCTCCAACTGCTTGGTCGCTAGCGTCAGCTTCGATGACGTAGTCTTTTTCTGGATCTGGCAGGATTAGGACGGGTGCGGACGTGAGTGCGGTCTTCAACTGCTCCATGGCTTGCTGGTGCATATCCTCCCACTTGAACGGTGTATTCTTCTTCAGTAGATTGGTGAGAGGTGTTGCAATCTTCGCATACTGTGGCACGGACCGATTATAATAGTTCGCAAAGCCAAGGAATTGCTGAAGTTCCTTCACGTTCTCCGGTGTCTTCCACGTACGTACGGCTACGATCTTCTTTGGGTCGACATGGACTCCTTGAGCGCTCACCATGTGTCCAAGGAACTGAACTTTCTTCAAGGCAAACTCGCTCTTGGATAGCTTGACGTAGAACTTCTCCCGTCGAAGTATCTCGAAGACACGTCGTAGGTGTTCGATGTGCTGCTTCATGTCCCTCGAGTAGATCAGGATGTCGTCCAGGTACACCACCACGCATTCGTCGAGTAGAGGCCTGAGAATATGGTTCATTTCGGCCTGGAATGTAGCGGGTGCGTTGGTGAGTCCAAACGGCATGACAAGGTACTCGTAGGATCCGTATCGTGTCCGAAACGCCGTCTTATGGATGGAGTTATCCGCCATCCGGATCTGCCAATATCCCGATCTCAAATCGAGTTTTGAGAATACCGTGGCTCCACGAAGCTGGTCAAGTAGATCGTCTATCCGTGGAATCGGATACTTGTTCTTGATCGTCTGCTTGTTGAGGGCTCGGTAGTCGATGCACATGCGTAAGCTTCCGTCAGGTTTTGGTGTGAAAGGCACTGGTACACCGTATGGTGATGTTGATGGTCGAATGAGTCCTTTGTCCAGAAGGTACTCGATCTGTTTC